TCCTCTTTTTTTTTTTTTTTTTTTTTTTAATTATGCCGTCCTTCTGTGATTTGTGGGATGTGTGTTTGTTGCTGCCTCAGATTGCCGGACACGTGTCAGAGAAGAAGGACGAATGAGCATTTCTGACGACTTCCCGCCCACGTGGCATGTGGCTGAAAAACAAAAATGTTCAGACATATAACCATTGTTGCTAAACAGGTCACGAGATCGAACCCCACCGGAGAGAGAATCGGATGGATGCAATAATGTTGGAGGCTTAACCCCTTAACAAAAGAAAAGGAATCTCAACAGAGTCCGCACCAGGGGGGGGCCAAGTCACACTCAAGACCCTTGGAACCCTTAGATGGATCCAAAGCTATCAATGGCGGCAGGTGGACCCTTGGGAACAGATAGAGATGGATCTATGGAGGCAGAATGGGAGGAGGAGGAGGAGGCAGAGCAGGGGGTAAATCTGCTGCAGGTAGACACCCTTAGATACTGGACATTTCCAAACGGGTACAGAAAGATCTGCAGAGAGACAGCATAAGGGGAGGAGGAGGTAGAGTAGGGGGGGGGGGGTAGAGATAAGAGGGGTTGGCGGAGAATTTTAGTAGCCTTCGGCAGCAAATGCGCAGTCAAACGGATCAACGGATGGACCATCAGCGTCGTCGTCATGGTCGTAATTTAAGTCCCGCCGCCCATCTCTTGGGGAATATCCACCGTCCGTCTCCTTGGAGCAGATAAGTCAACGGTTCCAATCCAACCACAGTCCAGCAACTTGCTGCTGAAAGTTTTTTTTTTTTTTTTTATTATTGGGGGGGGGGGGGGGGGTTGCTGTTGCTGGAAAACAGGTCCAGAGTCCCTTCCTTTCACACTGGTCTATCCTCATCTTCCAAAATCCCTTGAAGCGCAAAGTAATTTCCTGTAGGAATGAGGCACCATATAACTACATGGTGCTAAAGTTCAGTCAAGCAGATCATTGCAGTGTTGCTCATCGATATTAAACCTTTTTTTTTTTTTTGTTTTAAACGCCCCCGCCAGTGTTAGTGGTGCTGATACGAGCAGACACCACTAGCACCTGGGGAGAGGCTCCATCTATTGGTGGGGTGGGGAGCAGCACCTGCTGGAAAACGGGTCCAGCGTCCTCATCGATATTAAACTGCTATGGCTGCTGAAGTATTTGACTTTATGGGTATAACACCATATGACTACTGTTTGCTCCTTTGATTAAGCTGTATTACTAGTAATATTATATAAGTTTAGGATCTTTATTAAAATTTATTTTAATGTAACTTTTATGTATTATTAATTTTATTATTATTATTATTATTATTATTATTATTATTATTATTATTTATTTATTTTTTTTTTGGGGGGGGGGCTTCTTTACAAAGAACCCTGCAGGACACAAAAGGGGCTCTCTCATCTGTTTTTTACTTGGGTCTCTTCATTTTTGGCTCTTTGAAAAGAGAGGCCTTTCTTCTGTTCCAGTACTCTATGACGCGTTCCATTCATCTACCACGCAAGAAGGCTAGCTGTGTTCCATATTTGTGTCCAATTCTTCCAATCTATCCTTCCATGGTACTGTTAAGTTCTCGTCGTTGGTCCTTTTGGTCCCATTGGTCCCACCAGTCGGTCCCATGGTACACATTGTAGGTTCCAGTAGCGCCATGAAAACGAAAGCGTTCCATTCATCTACAAGGCGAGAAGCTGTGTTCCATATTTGTGTCCAATTCTTCCAATCTATCCTTCCATGGTAGACTGTTAAGTTCTCGTCGTTGGTCCTGTTGGTCCCATTGGTCCCACTGGTCCGTCCCATGGTACACAATGTAGGTTCCAGTAGCGCCATGAAATTGAAAAAAAGTGGGTTTGAGTGTTCCTCCTCGATGGAATTGCCAAGCCTCCATTGGTTGGTTGGTTTGATTGGCCCATCCATATTTGGTCCAATCTATTCCCTCCAAGGTAGACAGTTAGGGCTCATAGTTGATCATGTTGGTCCCATTGGTCCCACTGGTCCGTCCCATGGTACACACTGTAGGTTCCAGTAGTGCCATGAAAATGAAAATGGCCTCAGGTGCCCCTCCTTGATGGAATTGCCAAGCCTCGATTGGTTGGTTGGTTTGATTGGCCCATCCATGTTTGGTCCAATCTGTCCCTCCAAGGTAGAGAGTCAGGTCTCGTCGTTGGTCCTGTTGGTCCCATTGGTCTGTCCCATGGTCGAAGATACGCACGCAAGCACAGTTTGCACTCCCAGGGCTCCACAAACAGGCTCCACCTATACATTTTTGTTTTATCTGCTTAGGCTTAGGGGGTTTAGTAATTGGCACGTCCGACCCCCTCCCCCCTTTGATCGAATTGGCAAGCGTACGTCCGTTAATTGGCCCATCCAAGGCACAACTGGTGCAGTTAGTGTGCAGGAATCGACAGACTCTACGGCGTCTTCGCTGCATCTGTACGTCTGCTGTATCCATTCAGGTGGCCCGTCGAAGACACAACAGGCAGGCACAGTTTGTTTGTTCATCCAGGCATACTTTCGCCATCGAAAACGTTTGACAGGCAGGCTCTACTTGTCCTCCTAGACCTGTTTTGTTCCGTTTGGCTCTGTGTGGTTATGTGTGGTTCCATTTGGTTCTGTTTGGTGCCATTTGGTTCCGTTTGCCCTGGTTCGATCTGGTTAGGTTCCATTTGGCACATTTGTCCATGCGGGACTTGACGGGGGAAGGCTCTACTTGTCCTCCTAGTTCTGTTTGGTTCCGTTTGGCTCTGTGTTGTTGTGTTTGGTTCCGTTTGGTTCTTTTTGGTGCCATTTGGTTCCGTCTGCCATCCGGTTCGGTTCCATTTGGCACAATTTGTCCATCCGGGACTTGACAGGCAGGCTCTACTTGTCCTCCCACTTCTGTGTTAGCTCCGTTTGGCGCTGCGTGGTTCTGTTTCTTTCCGTTTGGTGCCATTTGGTTCCGTCTGCCCCGGTACTATCTGGTTCAGTTCCGTTTGGCTCTGTCTGGCTCTGTTTCGTCCATTTGGTGTCCATTTGGTGTCCGTTTGGTGTCCGTTTGGTTCTGTTTGGCCTCCCTTTGGTTTCCGTTAGAGCTCTGGCCTCCGTTTGGGCTCTGTTTGGGTTCCGTTCGGGTCCGTTTGGGTCTCCTTTTTGGTTCCATTTGGTTTCTGCTTTTGGTCCCGGTTGGTTTGCGTCAGGTTTCCCGCGGGTCTCCTTTTGCTTTCGTTTGGTTCTGTTTGGTTTGTCACGTTTCGTCTCCATGCCACACATCTCTCATCCAGTTCTTTGCTGGAGGGAGGAACTGTATGCATTGGGTGCTAGTTGTGAAGGGGGCAGTGCGGACCTGCTTCGGCAAACAAACACAAATTTAAGATCAGCAAGCAATCCGATGCAGGCTGGCAGTTATCGGAGTCCGAGTCTCAGAGATGATCGGTGTCTTGCCTGCCAGTTATCTGCTCCAGCTGCGAAGGTATGGCAATGTGCCGTTGTTCTGCTTCACGTGTGCAATAGCAATGGCAGAAAAAGCAAGTGGTCCCCACTCTCAGCACAGTAAATTGCAGCTGCTGTAATGTATTAAGTTACTATTCAGTGGTTTCGAGTGTCAATCCGCCAGTACACTGGTTTCTAGTGTACATCGGTTTCTAGTGCACACAGCCCCAGCCTGGCAGGAAAAAGCAAGTGGTCCCCACCTCACTATAGCAATGGCTCGGCCTACCAGACGACAATGGCTGGCGGCGCCAGCCCCAAAAGGAAAAAAGTGCTGCGCCGCTGGCGGCTCGCAAAAGCTTGGCGTGCAGTAAAGTGCGTCCAGGCCCGGATGTACTGGTGGTTTAAGAAACAGCCTTTGGCTTGCTTTGGGCTCCACAGCTGTTTTCCTTGCAGTGTGATAAGCCTCACTTCAGCTATACTCATGATACCCATAAGAAGTCACTGTGGTGGTTACCTGCTAAGTCGTACCCTCCTCTCTCTTCTCTTGTTTGACCCAGGAGGTGGATTGTTTGTTCTCTAAGCGCGCGCAGACCCTCAGATCTGACTGAATCCATGGAGCATGGCAGGAGAAAGGGATTGGGTTAGTTGCAGTGCATGTTTGGCAGGGGGAGAGAGAGAGAGAGAGAGAGAGAGAGAGAGAGAGAGAGAGAGAGAGAGAGAGAGAGAGAGAGAGAGAGAGTTGAAGTTTATGATTGAAGAGAGTGAAGGAGGATTTACACATTCTCCAGTGCTGTTTCAAACAACATAGCGTAGTCCAGGAAAGTGTATGGGCGCGATAATGGTGTAGATGCATAAGGCCATAATGAAGGCCATAACGAAGGTGACATGCACGCAAGTGGCTTGTCAGAATGTCTGAAGGTGTAGGTGTGTGCGATTTGTTGGGTGTGTACACGTGGGAGTGAGTGTTTGGGACCTCAGATCAAGCATGATAGAAGCAACGGAGTTGTTATCGACCGAGTTGTAGAAGCAAATTTTTAGATTGACTTGCACGTACATCTCAACAGCAAGGAGAGGCTGAACCCCTTGGCAGTGCATGGAGTGCCCATCTATGTGAACTGCTAGTCCCGTGTTATCCAGATCCCTTGTGAATTGACCACAGTAACTGAGCTCTGCGAGTCTGCGGTAACTCGTGAATTGCGCAGGCTGAGTGCGGTACAGGCGTGCGTGTGTGGAGTTTGGTGTACTTTGTCTTGTCATGGCCGCTGCTCCTCGTCGGCTTATTGGGATGACAAAGCAGCCATTACGGAATTCGTGGCTGAAACCCACAACTGCGGTCCAGGTGTCTTTGGTGGCCTCAATACTGACAACTCTTCTGATCACATTCCAGCTTCTTGACCCAGGACAGGAAATCGATCGCTCGAGCGGCAGGCATAGGAAGTGGGGCTCGGATGGTGGGCTGTTTGGCGGAAAGGGTGGGGGGGGAGGACTCGGAGGAGGCATTGTATCTTCCCTCCTGCAAAGACGGAATCGAACGGCAATCTCCTCTTCCTCGGCCGGCAAGGAAGATCTCAATGGCCAGGGAGGGAAGGATTCTAGCGAAACGGACCCCTCAGAAGATCAGTGGGCGGCGGAGGAACACTTTGTTCCTGAAATCGTGTCCGTCGATCCGTATCATGCACCGGCGGCCGGTGGGGAAACGATCACCATACAGGGGTATGCCCTGGGTGCCCAGATAGTGGCGAAGAAACAGCGCCTTCTCCTCGAGAAGGAGAAGTCCAAGACTATGCAGGCAGCCGATGCTGGTACCGGGGCAGGAGAGGGAGGAGCTGCAGAGTCTGATGGGAACGGGAAAGGAGAAGAAGAGGATGAGGATGAGGACGAACAAAATGCTCGCCCGGAGGAGGCTGTTTATGTGCTGATTGGTGGAACCCCCTGCACCAGGTTGGAAGCCGTTGAAGGCGGTGACAAGGACTCGTGGAATCAGGGCGCTGCGGAATCTCTCCGTTGCATAGTTCCTCCCGGTGTGGGGATCCGAATGAACGTCCAGGTGAGCGTTCATTACGAAACGGGTGAGGTGAAGATCAGTCGAAGAAACAAGCTTTTCTCGTACGATGATCCGGAGGTACTTCAGGTGTCTCCTACGCAATGCCCCGTCTCCGGGGGTTGCACCATCACCATCACGGGGAAGAACTTCGGACCCGCAGACGATCGTTTCCCGGTCGATGCGCTTGTCGGGGGAACGCCCTGCAGTCAGACGGTTAAGATAATGGATTCGTCGTTGCTCTGTGCCGTGCCACGCGGCACTCCCGGAGCGAAAGCTGTCGTTGTGGCTGTCGGCATCGGCGAGCACCATGTCGAGTCGCGCTACAATCGACTGTTTAGTTACATCCTCACTCCTGAAGAGAAGCTGGACTTGGAGAGAGACTCAATAGTCGAGGGCCTTCCTGTGAAATTCCGTGAGGTTCCGGTTGTCATGCATTTGGGAGAGGTCAAGCGCGCAAGACCATTTGAAACCTACTTCAAGGACCCGCTGACCGGTCAGACGTGTTCCTACAGCATGCCACCCCACTTGATTGAGGTTCTTCCCACAGAAGACCTTCCTCACCACAACTTTGACACGTGTGCGGTTGTCGGCGGCCATCGGTCCCTCTACCAGCACGATCGGAGCGTGGAAATCGACTCTGCTGCTGCCGTCATTCGGATCAACTTGGAAAACTCCGAAAAGCACCCTCTGGAATCCTACGGTGGCCGTCGAGCCGACTTCCGGGTCATTTCCACAGCGGCTGTCAAGGTGTTCCTTGACCGCGCCCCTGGCAACCTAGGAAGGGCCCAATTACCCTACCCCTTTTCTAACACCCGGCTCATCATTTGGAGCGAGTATGCACAGGACCTTTACGTCCAGCTGATGCGCACGTTTCACCGAATCCCAGCTTTCTTCCTGTCGAGGCACTTTGCACACAGCGTGCACGTGTTGTACGCCGAGCTCTCAAGGCGGCTCGAAAGGCTTGGTATTGTGGACCTACAAGCGACAAGGTTGCGGTCCCGCCGGCAACGACAACAGCAGCCCTTGCTCAAAGACATGGATGAAGAGGAGGACCGTGAGGAGAACATGGGCAGAGATGAAACCGGAGAACAGGAAGGACATGAGCAGATCGACAAGGAGGACGGTGAGCGAAGGACTGGGCAGGAAGGTGGGGTGAATGAGCAGAATTCTTTCAGGATCGTGGACACGAGAACACCTCCGGCTGCTCGGAGCAACCTTAGGTGGATTGAGGTGAAGAGAGAGAACGGCCGAGGAGAAGGAGGTGGTACTGGGAAGCGATTTGCAAGGGGCAGAGCAATTTTGCACACCGAGGCAGGTTCCATTCTGGTTAATAGTGAGGGCAGAGAACCGACACAAGTGTTGAGAAGGAGGAAAGGGGTCCAAAATGTGGATGGCGCAGGCGACTCAAGTCCGAATCATGTGCTTCAAGATGCCGCCTTTGGTCGACTTCGAAATCCAATGGGCGAGAACAACACCCGAGGGATAGGAGGACGCCAGAAAGATGACGACTTTCGTCCAGATCATAGCAGTCGCGACCTTGTAGTTCATGGCCGCAGTGCCTTTAGTAAGCTTCAGAGTGCAGGGGATACGACTACTGACAGGAGTGTCGATGGTGATGTGACGGTTATGGGAGTTACGCCAGAACAGTGGTTGTCATTGAACCACACTAATTATCTTGCACACGAGAATGCGGAGGATCGGTTAAGAGAACGCAGTCTGGGTATGGGTCGTATGGCCGTGCCTGCTAGGCGAAGACAGTCCAGGTACATGGCTGCACGTGTCGGGCTAAGGCAGTCCAGCAACATGGCTGCACAAGGCGTTATCCGCAGGGAAGAGGAAGAAACCTTTAGGAGATCCAATGGCACCTCCTTCTCCACAGAGAGCCGCAATCTACGACACCTGCTTGCCGAATCTGGCCTCTCTGGCCTTGCAAGGTTTAGGTCCGATTCGGATGAGACTTCAAACAACAGCTCGATTGCGAAGCTAACATCGGCACACTGGACTGCGCTGGACGACTCTCTGTCAGGAGTCAACGATGTCGAACCCCAGAATCCGAGTACGCCCTCAGCGGAGTTTTATGCAACGATGTTTGCGATACAGATCTGTGACCGGGTGGACCTTTATGGGTTTCCACCATATTCAAAGATGGACGAGTACTACGCGATGGTGAACAGAGATTCACAGCAGGACAGCGCTGAAGGAGACCAGCGGACGGGCAGCAGACGGGTTCTGCTGTCCAGGCGGCGGGCTTCCCGGTTGGCGTATCGAGGTCATGGACAAGTGAACGGTCTTGGCGAGGATGCTCGGGTAGTGGAGAAACCGGCAGAGGACATGGGTCTGGTGCGGGACACGGTTCCCACGGGCCCGAAGTTGGATCTTGAGGCAGCACTCCTACATCTCCTCGAGCTGCACGATTATGTCCATGTTCATTATTGATGTACAATGTATAGAGCAACCTTTCACACACACACACACACACACACACACACACACACACAATGTACAATGTATAGAGCAACCTTTGCCACACACACACACACACACACACACACACACACACTGACATACAATAAAGAAGAAGAAGAAGACAGAACAAAGAGACCGTTCACATTAACGAAGAAGTTGTGGTTGACTCAGAAAGAAAAACCTTAGTCCATGAGTGTAGCTAGGTAGCGTTCACGACTGTCCCACCCCTACAGCAGACTTCTTTCAACCTTACAGCAGAGTCAGCAGACTTATTTTTCTTGTTTCTTCATGACCGCAAGAGGGAGTGCAATTCTTCTGAAGTCAGGTATCTGGCCCATATATGGCTGATGGTATACACATGTAACTGTTAGGAAAAGAAAAAGAAAGGAAAATAAATGCAAGAGTTTGGATCCTGGTTCTGGTCAGAAGTGGCACACTGCTGGGAGACTCCTTGAGTGTATAGCAGGTAGGGGTTGGGTGCAGTTTAAGCCCAGTACTGCAGGGGCTTTACACATGATTGAGCAGGTTTAGGGGGGTAGGGGGGAAGGGGAAGGTGGGGGGGGAAGGGGGTTAACCCCAAAGCTAGACCAGGAGCAAGTTTATATACGGGGGTGTTTAACCCCAGAGCTTTCCAGTTTAGGGGGGGTTAACCCTGGAGATTAAAATAGGGTCTCGAAGATTGAGGTTGGTTGCAGTGTAGGGTCTCAGGATAGGGAGTGAGGAGGACGCAGAGGGGGGTGGGGGGGGGGGGGGGGGGGGGGGGGGGGGGGGGGGGGGGGGGGGGGGGGGGGGGGGGGGGGGGGGGGAGGCGAGGGGATGGGAGTGGTAATCCCTTTTTGACCTCTTTGCAATCTTAGGTAGTCAGGGTTGGAGAGGGGCATACCGTGTTTGACAATTTGCCATTATACCTCTCAACTGAACAGTAAGGACAACTTCAGGGTATTTGTTTTCGCACAGAGCACAGGAGGAAGGGCTCCATAACGTCGAGCGGTGTGGGGATGGAGGGATTTTTTGCCATTATACCCCTGAAGGGGTATTTGCCAAATTGCCAAGTTTTTTTTTTTTTTTTTTTCGCAGGGAGGACAAGAGGAAGGGGTTTGTAACATGTTAGGGACAATTTTTTTATTATTATTTTTTTTGCAGGGAGGACAAGAGGAAGGGGTTTGTAACATGTAGGGACGATGGGTGATGAAGGGATAGGTGCAGTAGATGGCGATTGATCTTTTTCTCTGCATCTCTGCATTAAACACGTCCAGATTCAGGCGCTTAATCCAATCATCTTTGCTAGTGGGACCTCGCCCCTAGAAAAGGACGAAATCAATGCTGCTGTCTCAGGGTCCCTTGGCGATAATGAAGGGGAGCAAGAGTGTGTACTCAATGTGAGGGACGCTGGCGGTGGTTTCCAGCAATTAATGAAAAAAAAAGATTAAAAAAAAAAAAGAATTGTGTCATAACCAGGAGCACTACTGTGACAATAATTATAGTCATTGGAACTACGCACTTAGACTGACTCTCTCTCTCCCTCTCTCTCTCTCTCTCCCGTTTGACAGAAATTCTTGCTGGCGTGCACCTCTCTGTGTGTGTGTGTGTGTGTGTGTGTGTGTGTGTGTGTGTGTGTGTGTGTGTGTGTGCACACCCACTTCCGTACTGCTTGACCGAATTGAATCTGTTTGTCTCCTTGGCATAAAATAAAAGATCACCCTCACCTCCTCCCGTCCTGGGCCCACTCTCTTCCGCTCCCCACCCTGACGCTCTCCCTGCGGCAAGCCCCACTTTTGCACTTCGTTGGGAAAATGACAATTCTCTGGTAGCTGTCATACAAGTCGGCCTACACGGCCTAGTAGTGAAAAATGAAAACTTGCTTAAAGTGTCCTTCATAGATGAACATACTAATCAAGTCTGGGGAAAGTGACTGGTCCTGTTAGAACTTCGAAGTGCAGGGCCACTAACTGCTATGTACTCCGCAGGACCTACCACTGCAGCAGGAAAAGCATCCCAAGCCTGGTCCTGGACTGCTGGTCCACCACAAACCTGCAGCACCACAAAACCTGGTCCACAACAAAACCACCTGGTCCATCTCTAAACCTTGTTAGACACTAAACCTGGTCCACCGGGACTCCACCCCCAACACCTGGTCTACCAAAAACTTGGTCCAACCACAAAACCTGTGGCACCACAAAACCTGGTCCACAATAAGACCTGGTCCATCTCTAAAACTTGTTAGACAACCTGGTCCACCGGGACTCCACCCCCAACACCTGGTCTACCAAAAACTTGGCTGGTCCATCACAAACCCTGGTCCACAACAAAACCACCTGGTCCATCTCTAAACCTTGTTAGACACTAAAGCTGGTACATCCCAACACCCGGTCTACCACAAACCTGCTGCACCACAAAACCTGGTCCACCTCCAAACCTGGCCCACCTCATAACATGGTCCAACACAAGACCTGGACCAACCAACCAGCTAGTTCATATTATGATGGACAAGCTCAGCCTGGTGAATGTCTAATGGAAGATGAAGTCTTGAAACTGAGAGATTGTATTGCAAAAGTCAGTCTACATCAATAGGACTTCTCAACCACTGGAAGCTCAAGCGTTTCGCTTGGGATCTAATCAACACTTCGTGCCTCCAGGCTCAGGCTTGATTTATCAAAGTGTAGGTACTTGACCTATCAATTTTCATTTCCAAGCGGGATTAGATTAACACAATTGCCTAAAGAGTAACGGAGGCGCGCTAAGGTAGGCTCAAGCTAGCGCTTTGCGCAGCTGTAGAGTCTGACTGTAAGACCTACAAGTCGAACAGAGACGAAAGTCGGCCATAGTGATCCGGGGGCCCCGTGTGGAAGGGCTCTCGCTCAACGGATCAAAGGTACGCCGGGGATAACAGGCTGATGACTCCCAAGACCTCATATCGACGGAGTCGTTTGGCACCTCATCATCTTGGGGTACTTGCACAGTAATGTGTAGGCGCGAAGCTGGATATATGCTGGGAATATAATTATTAATTTATAAAGCTGATCCACCACCAGGATGTCTACATTAATAGAACATCTCAACCAAAAAGTTAACCTGAGCATATCCAAAACAAAACTTGCAGCGGTGGAACACAAAGCTGGACCCACCTGGTCAGACACAAAACCTGGTCCACACCACAGCGTGTCCGTACATCGAATGTAACCCTGTCAGAGTCGGAGTCCTTGTTTCCAGCAGAGATGCAGAGAACCCCTCCGAATGTGTCCGCGAACATACGGTCACTGGCAGCGTCATTTATTCCGGCTAACGGCATCACCGACTTGAAGATAGCACCACTGTTCTACCTTCCAGACTGGCTTGTTCAGCAAAAAAAGGACTGGGCATATCTGCACACTGATTCGACCACCTTGACGGGGTTTACTAACAGAAACACCAGAAACACATGGTCTGGTAGGTAGACCTCGCATCTGGCCCAGTGCTCTCTCTCTCTCTCTCTCTCTCTCTCTCTCTCTCTCCGTGTGGACTTCCTTAGAAAGCGGGGCCAGTCCACCACCCTGGTAGACTGGTTAAGCTACGGTGCATTGCAGAGAGAAGTTACGGCGTGCTCATTGTTGAGGGCAGACATTCATGTGACCAGCCCCCTGCTGAAAGATGCTTCTCCGCTCTCTCTCCAGGGAACACTTTCCCGGTTTCTATGCCTCTGCTATTTTCCGTGTATAGCTTCAGCAAAGCTTGCTCCCACGCTCGCGCAGGGCCCTGCAGGTGGCAATCCACAGAATGACATAAACTGTCAGTTTCAAACATCTGTCATTGATGCCTCCTTTCCGCACAGGATGGCTCAACAGAGAGAGTACTAGCGCGCAACCCCCCCCCCCCCCCCCCCCCCCCCCCCCCCCCCCCCCCCCCCCCCCCCCCCCCCCCCCCCCCCCGCCGAACTACTCTCTTCGTCTCTTCGTAGCCTTCCCGTGCAGAAAGGAGGCACTGGGATTGGATGGACAGCTGTAAAGGGCGGAAGTCAACTTGCCCTTTCGGGCAAGTTTTCCTGATCCGGTAAGTTAAACAGGAAACAATGAAGGTCCCGAAAATTGCTGTGGCGGTTGGGTCCGTTTCCTCTTTCCCGTTCCCGTAGGGAACAATTTGTGTTTTTTAACATTTCCAGACTTTTCCGAAGCTCTTTTCTGTGTGGGGTCTGAGCCTGAGTCAGGATGCACATGCCGACTACCCAGAGGTTTGTGGGAAATGATGTCACAGTGATATTCACACTCATGAGTACAAAAACATGACGCACGACACATCCATGCTTGTGACACGACAACGAACACAATTATGTGATAGAAGTGATATTCCAGAAAAGCGGATCCCATCCCAGTGATCGTCCCCAGAAGGTCTGCAACATTCTTTTTTTTTTTTTTTTTTTTTTTTTTTTTTTTTTTTTTTAATTTTATAATAAGTCTGCAACATTCTCAATCAGTGTTGGATCAGGATGTTCATGTCAGAAGATAGGATTGAATTCACTCTTCTTCTCACCCACCTTCCACGAGAGGTCTTGTGACATGCATGCCAGGATCATGCTTCGGAATCGAGATGGGTCCCGGTACACCTCCATTCCACGAGTGAGCCCCCTTACGACCTTAGCAATGTCGCCAGCTTCGAGCTTCTCCTGATGGAATAGACAAATCGTATTAGGAAAGAAACCCAGGTTAAGCATTAGCACAATAGTACTACAGTATGAAAAGCATATGAGCAAGTGCAAGCACTTCACAAATGAAGAAGACAAGACAAGACAAGACAAGACAAGACAAGACAAGGAGAAACCCGAGCGCATCAGCTCATAAAAATCAATGAAGGCTATGACGCACAAATCTGGAATAGATGCAGAGCGCCATAATCATGAAGCTCACTTGACGGTTCTACCCTACACGTGTTTCGGCCGGGCTGTCAGAACACCGGCCAACTGACGGTTCTACCCTACACGTTCTGTGAATGCGTAACAAAGGCACACACACACACACACACACACACAGAGAGAGAGAGAGAGAGAGAGAGAGAGAGAGAGAGAGAGAGAGAGAGAGAG